GGATTCTAGCGTTGTAAGTCCGCAGACGTACCGCTGTGCCACTGGGGGCATTAGAATAAGCGAGCGTTATTCTATTTTTGAAAATGAAACGCAATTTGGCCGAATAATAAAATTGAAAGGTGAGAAAAATTACACCTATTTAGAAACAGTCTTTCACGTTGTAATTCAGATTATGCAAACAACATATTACATTTGGAAGTGAATGATTAAATTATGCAAACGATGTATTACATCTGTAAATCTGGTCACTAAGTGTGTGTTGAAAACTTCATTATCGTAGTTTGAAAAAAAACAAAGAAATCTTAATTTGTTTGTTAAGCACAAAGCTATACAATAGGCTATCTGTGCTCTGCCCACCACGGGTATCGAAACCCGATTTTTAGCGTTATAAGCCTACAGACTTACCACTGAGCTCCTGTGGCATGAAATGTTAGAAATAAAGAAAAAAGGTGATACAAAAAACATCAGAAATCATTTCTAACAGCTACATAATGAACTGATATTGTAATCAGTTTTATTGTAAAAGTCTTAAGAAATGTCTTTGTTTTTCAATTTAAAGTAGAATCTCAGTTTTAAAAGTTTCCCCCCAGATAAACAACTTGGACAAATATGTTTATTTACGTTGGTTTTAACAAAATATTCAAATACGGGAAACATTAAGTTAAAAGCACAAAAGCCACGCTACTCTGTCTCCAGTATTAAACATATATTATATACATCTGTATGTCAGTATCAAAAGCGTGAAACTCCGGTTACAACTGAACAAGATTTTCACAAATTCTTTAAAAGTGATGTGACTAATTCTTGACTAGGAACCATAATTAACTATTAAGAATGGAAATAATCCAGCCGAATTTTTTTTTCCTTTCCTAAACAACATCAACAAGATTCACTACTAGTATAACGTGTATATAAATTTATATATATATAAATACATAAAAATCTTTCATGCACATGCAAAGATTCATGTTAGGAGTTAATCCATTACATGCAAAGTTCATGTTAGGGGTTAATTCATTACATGAAAAGATTCATGTTAGGGGTTAATCCATTACATGCAAAGATTCATGTTAGGGGTTAATCCATTACATGAAAAGATTCATGTTAGGGGTTAATCCATTACATGCAAAGATTCATGTTAGGGGTTAATCCATTATTCTCTTAATTTGCTATTTTAGCTCAAGAGTTAGTGAAAAAAGCCTCAAAGCGAATTAGGCTAAGCTAATAGAGTACTCATGCTTCTTCATATCAAAGCTTTCATGCACACAGTTCACACAGAAAGCAGTCAAACTTTACTGCTGCTATAGCTAGCTGCTGGGAGAACTGATAGCCTTAGACTCGGAGCTTCAGAGAGTCACACTCTACCCTAGTCATCATTGTCTTCCGTTGAGGAAGTCGGCGGCCACGTGGACCTCGGTCTCTGTCTTTGGTTGGTGTATAAAGTCGTCCCCCAGATGGTAATTCCAGAGTTCCGTGCGACGAAGGTCGGTTAGTAGTCACCTGAAATAGTCACAATAGTCACAACGATTTTAAAGCCATGGTTCAGGGAAAAACGTATCTTCGTAATAATTTCAACAATAGAGGTTGAAAATAAACAATCCCGAAATTTAACAATTTTATTTCTCCAAAAACACTTTATAAATAATGACCCAAAAAACTACATAAGTGTGATATGCAACGATGCAAACTATAACTTTTTCAGATCAATTATTTCACCAGCATTTGTATTTTTACTGAGTTTGTGTAGATTGTTTGTTTTTTAAATGTTGGCACGATATTAAATATTCACAATTCCTCTTGGTTTTCGTTAAATATCTGCTACTTAACACAAAGTGTCATCAAAAGTTCGTCTGTAACGTTTACGGTGAACCCTCTACTTATCACAAAGTGTCATCAAAAGTCCGTCTGTAACGTTTACGGTGAACCCTCTACTTATCACAAAGTGTCGACAAGAGTTCGTTTGGTAACGTTTACTGTAAACCCTCTACTTAACACAAAGTGTCATCAAAAGTTCGTCTGTAACGTTTTACTGTGAACCCTCTACTTAACACAAAGTGTCGACAAGAGTTCGTCTGTAACGTTTACTGTGAACCCTCTACTTATCACAAAGTGTCGACAAGAGTTCGTCTGTAACGTTTATGTGAACCCTCTACTTATCACAAATAGTTGACAACAGTTCGTCTGTAACGTTTAATGTGAACCCTCTACTTAAAACAAAGTGTCGACATGAGTTCGTCTGTAATTATTGCTGTCCGAAAAACAATTATGAATAAAGCCTAAAACACTTCAACTGTTTTTATGTTGGTTCACTGACATTGTTTATTTGTTTGAAAATTAATTATCATTTTTATCTCTTTACAACCCGTACTGATAAATCGTAAGATGACGTTCATAAGTACGTAGCTGGTTTGGATGTTCACAAGTACATTTATTCCACTCCTTGATGTCTTCTTTGAATTAGTAATGTAACTAAGTTACTTATTTCCGACAAAATGGATTTAATTTACCCAAAGTTATGTCTTTGAGACATCCCTTGAATATGATATTATAGCTTCAGGAGAGCAGAAGTTACAAGTTTGCCAAACCAGCTGGGAGTAACATAAGAACTAGAAATGGCTATTAGATTATATATATACGTTATTGTTTAACACAAAGGTTAAAATGGAAAATAATATATGTGGTATTGCTCAACACAAAGGTTAAAATGGAAAATGATATATATGTGGTTTTGCTCAACACAAAGGTTAAAATGGAAAATGATATATGTGGTATTGCTCAACACAAAGGTTAAAATGGAAAATTATATATGTGGTATTGCTCAACACAAAGGTTGAAATGGAAAATGACATGTAGTATTGTTTAACACAGAGGCTAAAATGGAAAATGAAATATGTGTTATTGTTCAACACAGAGGCTAAAATGGAAAACGATATGCATTATTGTTTAACACAAATGTTAAAATGGAAAACGATATATGTGTTATTATTTAACACATAGATTAAGATGAAAACACTGTAATTCCTAAGCAAACTATTTAATTTAAATTATATGAAACATTTCTTCGTAATTTGCAATAATTAACTATCATAAAACCCAGAGTATGAACATGGTCCAAATGATAAAAGAAATTAGCCACCTCTGATTATCATTTTCGGATATTCCAAAACAATTTAGAATAATATGTATATTTAAAAAACAAACTACCATATCTTATATCATTCTTTTTTTTTCCTTTCAAAGATACAATTTGTAAATTGGTAGTATGAATATAGTTTGTTTGTTTGTTTTTAATTAAGCACAAAGCTACACAAGGGTATCGAAACCCGGTTTCTAGCGTTGTATGTCCGCAGACATGCCGCTGTGCCACTGGGGGGCGTATGAATATAGAACACTAGGCTTAAGAAACGATTCTGGCTTACAGTAAGTTCAAAGCAATGTCTTTACAACTATTAAATTATTTTATTCGTGGTTTAGTTTTAATAAATCGTGTTTTATGTCATACACGAATTACCTGGAATAAACTTGTAACTTTAATAAAGTATTCAATCACATACTTTTTTTTTTACAACATCTTACCTTGAAAACTGGACTACTGTCAGCGCTCCGAGGTCTTACTGGCTCTTTCTTACGTTTATCTTTTCCGTGAGCACGACCAGCTCTGCTTCGCTTGCTTCTGGCATCTGAAATCGCTTCTTTAATCAAGTTGACCCACTCTGACATCTCCGGTAGAGTGTCGGCTGAAAACAGATGCTGCATCTAATAACAAAACAATTTAATAACACAAAAATGTTATTCGATTCACTTATTGAGGAAAATAAGACGATGTCGGGATAAAAATCTTAAATTTTAATGTAGATAATAAATTGTACAGGAAAGATAATATACAATCAGCATATGTTCTAAATTCATTTTTGACAATATTAAATATTCCTGTTCAAACGCTACCTAGTGGACACTAATAACCTCTAGAATAATCATACTTTTTAATGTTTGAGTTTTTCAGCATATGTGCAAAATCGGTTTTTGCCAATGTCCTTTAACACTTTTATGAAAACAATATTAAATATTCCTGTTCAACACCACCTGGTGGGCACTAATAACCTCCATATATCTGGATGATTTAGAATAATTATGCTTTTTTAATGACTGTGTTTTTCAGCATATGCTTTGCCGAGGTTCTTTAACACTTTTAGTAAACAAATATCAAATTTTCCTGTCCAACGCCACCTGGTGGAAACCAATAAGCTCCAGATATTTTTGGATGATTTAAAATAATTATGTTAGTTAAGATTGTTTTTTTTTAAATTAAAACTAAAATTGTGAATTTTCTTTGATAGTTTGAATATATAAACGTTTGACCCAATGTCTCCTCTCCATTTAATTGTCTAAACTGCTTTTTATTGATCTTTAAAGGCTTTGTACCTCCTGAATAACAACAACAACTACGTCACTTGTCCCTGGATATATGGTAAAGTTGTAATAATAAAAAATAAGGCAGTTGTAAATAATTCCTTATCTTTTTAAGCCTCAATAAGTTACAATAACCAAACTGAAACACGTGGAAGAGAAGATATCGAAAAAAGCTTATAACAAACTCCTAACCTAAATGTGGTAAGCCTCGTGTATGAAACGCTCGTGTAATTCAACTCGAATGTGGCTTGAAAACAATATGGATGACAAGGTTAAATCTGTAAATATATCATTTACGTAGGGAATTGTGTGTAAGGAATAAAAAATAGCAGACACGAAAATATTTAAATCAATTGGATTGGGTAAAGTAGGTAGGTTTATTTTAATGCAAAACTACTCTGTGGGCTACATGTGCTTTGTACACCGCGGGGAATCAAGCCCTGGATTTTAGCGTTTTAAGTCCGTAAAAATCGCGTTGGTGATATGTTGTTGCATAATTGTGCATTATTATTTACATAAACTTATTAGTAATAATAAATTAATGAATGTAGTGTTTTTACAGAAATAATATGGCAGAAGAGTAAATAAACCTTTAACGTTGTATTTACACAGGTAGAGGTACAGGCAACATGTGTTCAAAATTTAAAATCGATACATGATATTGCTCTTACACATATTTCTTTAAAATACGCATGCGCACAAGCATGTGGGGGGGGGGGGAATTATTTTTTGTTTTGCAAGGGGTTGGGGG